CGTTGTGGTAATTTTATTATCACTATTTTACACATTAATAAAAATGTGGTTATGACATTGGAACATGGAAGTTTCAACAGATGTCTTATTGAGGGGGAGCATATATGCTAAATATTGATTATCATACTTAAGACCTGGAAGTCTTATATTTGATTTACCAAGAATTAATCAAATTAATCATTGTGTTGATAATTTACCTTGAAGGTTACTATCGCTATATTGTTATGTTAATCCAAGTTGATTAATATAATAAAGCATATAGATCATTAGCTATTTACGAAGAATAGTCGATCTTAAAGATTATGCGATCAAAAAGATCGTGTGTTGTACTCTCTTTCCCTTAGTGAGTTTTTACTTGAATATTTCTCACGCAAGGTTTTTAACGAGGCAACAAGTGCAATATAACTAGCGTGTACGATGTACTCTTTTCTCCTATCCTTTTCTCCCACTGGGTTTTTGGATGGAGTTTTTAATGAGACATGTGTATAGCGCGGTATTCGCCCAAGGGGGAGTGTTATGAAACTATTATCTCCTGCCAGAGATAAATATGGGTTCATACCAAATATATGGAAACGTATCCTAATGGGACTCTTCCTATTATGGGTATATATACAGAGAGAGGGCTTGAGAGGTTGGCTGATGTATCCACATATGAGAAATCAATAAAGCTGTGATGCCTCTCCCTATATCCGTGTTCATTGTTTATCTATTATGTGCATGAGATCGTCGTCTTCTACTCTGGATCAGCGAATATGTCACGCCCGGAAATTCACTAGTAATTTCCGAACTTATTTGTGCATGAAATCCTCGTCCAGGAATGAGCCGAGGTACACAAATTGACAATTTAATATACAGATTCATCAAATTAACTAAAACGATAAATACTTACTTAAGAGGCACTAAGTCCTCACCAAGAAGAAAACTGCAGCGGAAAATAAAATCTAGCGAAGCTCCGGCTCCACTCCCACAGGCAGCTCAACTGGGGTATAAGCCAAACGTCTTCTCCTTCTGGATCCTTTTTCTTCAACTGAGGTTGATTGATTATTGTAAGGTGAGCATATGACATACTCAGCAAGCCACACAGCAAATATGCAAGTGCACAAGGATACCAAAGGATGGCGTAGTATAGGCTCATTTGCGAAAGCAGCATTTAGCAAAGAGTTTAGAGTAGTAAAACAGTAGAGTAATTAATCAGAAATTTTAATCAACACTGAACAGCATACCCATGCTGTACAGGCCCAACCATCCTGAACAACCATACCCGGCTGTACAGATCTAACTCCAAACCAGGAGCTAAGCAAATTATTACCAGTTATAACATCAATACTTATTGTGAGAGGTGTGAGACTAATCACGAAAAACATTGCTCAACCCGCCCATAACCGCGGGCACGGCTATTCGAATAGTTTTACTCTGGCCAGAGGTGTACCACTGTACCCACAAGACACAGCCTCAACATCATGTCTACCATGCGTCGCGATACTGGAAAGTACTCGAATAGAGGCTGTGACAATACCCTCTGCATAACACAACTCACCACAGTGCACCATTCCTGGATCATAATCACCCCCTCAAAAACCAGAGGCATGGACTCCCCAGCGACCCCCGTGGGCTTATCTCCGCCACTTCTCAGTCTGGTGCTCCGCAATGAATCATGCTATACAAAAGGTAAAGCCGTTGCCCACGTTGGCTTGTGGTTGGCACGATTAATGTTTCACAATAGTAGCTCGCGAACCGGTCCTTAATTGTCATGAGCACGACTCTCAAAACCATGTGCTCACAACCCACCATTATCAAGTTTTAGTTGGCAAGTAATTAATTAACCAATCACGATTGACCATCGTGAGCTACCATTAAATATAACCATAAGTGATAATGAAACATTAGTTATCCCAATTGTGTGCTAATGTTTCTAAGCATGGCAAAGCAATCATATCTAATATCTAGCTGAACCAATATATATAGCTCAACTAGTCAAGTTATAATAACCCAAGGTATCAAGGAATAAAGTAATCAATGCAAACAGGCCATAACAAAGGAATAGGTTCACACCACCCAGTGACATTCGAAAATAAATGCACAGTTGAAATAAATAGAGAATTTAAATATAGGATCAACATGCTCAAAGGATTATGTTTAGGATCTGTGTGACTTGCCTTGCAATAATCGGTCTTCAATTAATCTTCTTGAATACTTCCGGCGCACTCGCGAACCTTCGCAACGACGGAAACGACAAGCTATCACGCAAAACGAGGAAAAAGACTAATAAAAACCAAATAAACAGTACATATAAAGTAAACAAACATGTAGATCATATTTTTAGATGAATTATGAGACTTGAACGGCCTCATTCTGACTTCAAATGAATTTATTATGAATTTTACAAGATTAAATCTATTTAAAGCCCATTTAAAAAGAATTAAATAAATTTAATTCAATTTATGGACAATTTTAATATGTAGATCTTTATTTTATACAACTTTTGCAACTTGAACCACATTAAACTGAGTTCAAATGAATTAGTTATGAATTTTTAAAGATTAAATCGGATTAAAACCTTTATATTGATTTTAATTGAATTATGACGCAATAATGAATTATTTTTGAAAAGGAAAAGGAGGATTATTGCGTCAGCGGCTAGGGTTTGCGGTGGACCGGGTGCACGGCGACGGCTCACGGAAACGAACGGCCGAGATCAACCCTATCCAAAACGGACGGCTGAGATCGATCGGTCCACGACCGACTCACGGCGAACGGCTCCGATGACGTCAGCGATGACGGCAGCGATGACGTCAGCACCGGCGGCGACTTGGGCAGCTCGGACGCGCATGCTCGCCGGCGAACGACGGCGCGGCGACGCGAACGGAAGGCACCAACGGGTAGAGCGCGGCGCCGCGAACTCACCGGTGACCAAAACAACGGCGGAAGGGCAACGGACGGCACCGGCGGCGACTCGGGCTACGCGGAGGCGGCGCTAGACGCGACGGCAGGCTAAGGCAAAGGTGGCGGCGGATAGAGGAGAGCTCGGGGATCCTTTTATAGGTGCAAGAAGGCGGCGGCGAAGGCCCACGGCGACCGGCGACGAGAAGGAAAGATCGGGTTCGGGAGAGAGAGAAGAATCCGATTCGATCTCGAATCCATCGAGTTTCCAAACCGAATTAGGCGATGAATCCAAAAGAGAAAAGGAAGAGGAGATCGAGAAGATCATTTCCCCTCAAAAGATTCGGCCGGAGAAGGAAAGACGCGGCCGAATTTGGAAGGAGAAGGCGGCGGCGGCGCGCTAGGGTTTGCGGGCGGCGGCGGCCGAAGGAGGACGACGAACCTGACAAGCGGGGCCCACCTGTCAGCGGCTGAGAGAGAGAGGAGAGCGGCGGCTCGGCGGACTGGGCCGACTGGGCCGAGAGAAAGAGAGAGAGAAGGGTTTTGGGCCGGCTTTCGGCCCAAAGCCAAAAGAAGACTTTTAAAAACCTTTTTCAATTTAAATTATTTATGAAATGCAATTCCATTTATTAAAAATACTTCCTTAGCTCAAATAAATCCCAGAAAAATCTAGGAATTATAGAATTAAGCAAAGTATTTAACAAAATTTTATCTAGCCCAATTTTATGTTGAGATTTAGCAAATTAAAATTAGATCTTCTCTTCTAGGCTTTTAAAATAATTTCTAATAATTCCTTTTAAACAACAATTTATAATTTAAGGATTTTTAAACAAGAAAAGCACTTAACAAATATAATTAGATCATTAATGATCAAATAATTACTGAACTGTTCTTTGTATTATTTAAGAATTGAGCTCTGAAAAATCCGAGAAAATTTCAGAGAGTATAATTAACCATGGAGAATTTAACAAAAATTAAATCCATCCATGCTTTATATTTAGGAAATTTTATTTCCCACATTTTACTTCACTTGTAAATTAAAGAACATTTAACATAAATTCTATTATTAATTTATTAAATAATTTATAAACCCTGAAACAAAAATCAGGATGTGACAGAATAAGCCACTAGTTATCCAACATACCTTTTGCTTGTGAATCGTAAATTTATTAATTAGCCATCCATTACAATGTACTTACTTTTACATTGTTGACTGAGACTGCAGTTTTTATCAAAACAATTCAAAATAGTAATCATGTCGTTGCACTTGTGACGTTTCTCCTTCTGCGTATATACATATAGAACATAGTGCATGAACCAAATATGCCAACCGGTAAAAATCTATGAATTGGGAGGTAGCATTTGGCTGGAGTTGGCCAGCCAGACCAATCTAACTATATGCAAGATACTACTCACCAACAACCTAATTAACCAACTATAAGCACATTTTTTTTTGGCATAATATGTTGTGCTTTGACTAGAAAGAATATGCAACATTACTATATATGAGTCAGTACAGAGATTTTCGTTATTAAGATTCTGGGATATCAAAGGTCATATTTTAGTCCCACTTGCTAACTGAAATTTGTACCTTCTCTGAACTAAATATTTATATTTCAGTTAGTTAACCAAGAACTAATTGTAGAAATTGTAAGGTAACCATCTATTTTAACTGTTCAAAATCAGATTATTACAAGCACTCTATGAATGCCATTAATTTGCTTATTACTACATTCCTAGAAAGAAAACAAGATGAACCAGCTGCCACAAAAACATCTCCATCCATAAGATCAAATTCGTTTGAATCAATCTCACACCAGCAAATTAACCTGTCACCATCAGGAATTTGTCCATCAAACCATTGGTTTCAATTGGAAATTTATTTCATTATTATAAAGTGAACACTTTGATATATTAGGGTACGCTGAAAAGTGTCCAGGTTTTGAAGTTCATTCTTTTCGGATATTTAATTTAAAAATAAATTAATTATTGTGCTTGAACGAGGAGAGAACAATATGAGACCAATGGAAATGGATTCCATATACAACAAGGAGATCCATCCACAAAGAAACTTGAAATCTTTGCAGTAATCATCAGGAATTACCCAAACGTACCGGACAAATGCAAAGCACTTGAATATATTATTCAACAAATGATATATCATCATACAATGAATATAATAATAATCGAAATTTAAAATACATGAAGAAATAAATGACATGTCACACAGTATATATCAATGGCATTATAAACAATAATCAAACTGCTCAATTAATCCACGCAGAAATTAAACTAATTAATCAAGCATACAACATTGCAAACGCAGCCGACACGATCACCATCGCAACGGACGCCGCCTTGCCGACGCTCTCGCCGGCGGAGCTCGCGCCGGTGGTCGGCGTCGTCTTCGACCCGGTCCCTGCAGCCGGCGGCGCATTCGGCGCCGCCGCGCCCCCCGGCGCCGGAGACGGAATCGGAGCACCGACTTCTGCAAAACACAACACAACGTAGTCGTCCGTCGACGGTCAGTCACCCACTCTACGGCCCACGGCGGCGGAGGCTCGCCAGAGAAATGGAAGAAGATAGTAATACTCCTTCAGTTATAAAAGACGTTTTGACTTTGATCAAAATTAAATTATTTTAAATTTAGCTAAGTTTATAGACAAATATAATAACATTTATAATACTCTCTCAATCCTATAATATAACGCATGGTTAAACTTGACACAGTCTTCAAAACTAATCTTTGATTTAAAATTCCTCATATATTATAAAGGTTTATTGCAACAAATTTATAACCATCTTAAAGTAAATTTAATTGTCAATCCAATGATATAATTTAAACAATAAATTTTAATTTTTATTATAATAATTATTGGTCAAACGTTTTTAAATTTGAATATTGTAATGTGTGCACGTCTTATATTATGGGATAGAGGGAGTACTAAATTAGTTTCATCAAATCAATAATTAAATATATTTTCACAATAAATTTGTCTTAGATTGAAAATGTTACTATGTTTTTTTACAAATTTAAAGCAGTTTGAATTTGACCAAACTCCGGCAACCATCTTAGAGAGAGAGAGAGAGACTCACTGCTGCACTCGCTGGGAGGCGGGGTCTTGACGCCGCAGGCGGCGGGGAGCTCGAGGGCGCGGGTGGTGTTGACGGTGACGCCGAGCGAGGAGGCGCCGCCGCCGAGCACCGCGCACAGGCACTCCGGCCTCGACTTCACCACGCTCGACAGCGCCGCGCAGCACGACGCCGTCGGCCTCGACGCGTTCCCCTGCATGTAGTCCAGGCACGGCGCCAGGCTCACCATCTCCGACGTGCACCCGCTCTGCGCCGCCGCCCCCGCCACCAGCGCGCCGGCGACGACGACCACGGCGGCGAACATCACCGCGACGCCATTATTGCGCGCCATTGCTAGCTTAGCTGTAGAGTGTGTTCTAGCTAAGCAAGCTAGATATATACTTAATTAGCTGGCTAATGATGTAATTAAGATCGGATTATAGCTTGATGGTGTGTGAGATTGTGTGTTTAAGTTGGGGTGTTTATATAGTGTGAAGTGATGGAATCTTAGGCATGTCGTTGGTGACCAACTCTTCCTAATGACAGCTCTAACTAATTATTGGACAGGTGATGATGATGACTAATGACATTGCTACATGATCAATGTTTTTGCATGGTGAGATGTACAGAGACTACCATACGAATTTTGATGAATTTGTTTGGGTGTATTGGCATTAGTTTGTTGATTAACTGTTGGCAATTGGACATATATTTATGAAATTTTCAGTGAGATGCATGCACTTTCGGTAGGCAAGATGCTTCCTCTTCGTGTTGGAATATTAGGTGCTCCAAATACCGATTAATTCGCATTCCTAACAACAAAAACAACATCGGAATTCACTAATATTCCAACAAGAACAGTGATATGCGTCCTTCTTCCAAGAGGGACAGCTAGCAGGCATGTCCTAGGAATAAATATACATGTTAAACCTTCAACTTTTGAAGTTGTAAGTTACTAGTCATCTGAATACTCTTGTTTAGTGTCAATCTAGAGTTCTGGAGAGCCAAAACTTACTCCAACTTTAGTGTTTTTTTTTTAAAAAAAAGATGAACTTTGGTACTCTTACTTATTAACATTTAATTTGGTTTCTTCCTTAATTTGTATCGATTCACCTAGATATGTTTCTGTAGTTATCTAGATTACAATTTTCTTAATTTTATATTTGTATGATTCACCAAACTACAAATTATGTTCTAAGTTATTCACCTATAAATGTTTCTGTAGTTATCTAGATTAGAATTTTCTTAATTTTACAATTGTATGATTCACTAAACAATTGTTTGTTTCACCAAGGAAAATACTTAAACATGTTGTTCGATAAGTATACATATGGAAAAAAAACAGTCACTAAAATTGATAAAAAAGAAAAAAAAAATAGTCACTTGATGATGACAGGTTTTCTTCACTATTCTTCACTGTCTATAATTGTCACAACATGCTAGTCTGCTAATGCTGATTCTGGAAACAACAAGAGAGAAAAGGGTAAGGCTGTGCCCAAATTGGAGCAAAACCAGACCAAAACACCCCCTAAATTTCTGCATATGCATCAAATTCTTTCCATAAATAGAGGACTGCAGTAAAATGGCATACATGTTCATTAGCACTATGGCCAGACAACTGTGTGGCCAGGAAGAACACATCCCTGCACTTTCCCGGCACAGCATTCCTTCAATTCCGGCACGAGTGGCTGCAGCATACAACGATCTCATCCTCCATCAACATCCTCACAAACCATTCTCACCTGATGCCCCAAAAGCATTTTTACTCTTTTTTTTTTCTGAGAGACATACATCAATCAGTTCTTGATTTGACCGGCATTGTATTGTTCGTCGTCGAGGAGGAGGGAGGGAAGGAGGGAGGGACCATCGATCGGCAGCTGACAATGGCTGCAAGAAAGTCGCAGACCGGCGTCCCACGGGCTCCAGTGGTGGCGGTGATTGTGGTGGTGATGACAATGCTTGCTTCCCGTGCCGCATCGCAGAACAATGGCTGCTCCAGCGTGATGATGACGCTCTCCCCGTGCCTGGATTACATCTCCGGCAAATCGCCGATCCCCGAGTTCACCTGCTGCACCACGCTCGCTGGCGTCGTCCAGTCCGACCCCCGGTGCCTCTGCATGGTCCTGGATGGCAGCGCGGCGTCCTTCGGCATCTCCATCAACCACACGAGGGCGCTGGAGCTCCCTGGTGTCTGCAAGGTCCAGGCACCACCAATCAGCCAATGCACAGGTAATAAATGCTATCTCGCAATCAAATGCAGATGATGATCAGTTCATGTCGATCTTAAGCTCAGAAGATTAACCAGAATGTGTGGATGATTTGTTTCAGCCGTCCCAACTCCACCTCCAGCACCAGATACACCTACATTAGCTGATGAGCCAGCAGAGACAAACGAGGATGAACCAAGTCCACCACCTGCAGGTAAAGTCACGAATAGATCGAAATTTTTTTTAGGGTAAATAATAGATCGAAATTTAGTTACAAGTACTCTGCTAATTGCTAGATGATTGTGAAATTTAGTTACAAGTACCTGACTGGGCTGATCCAATTCGATGCAGGAAGTGCAGGATCTAACAAAACCTCAAGCGCCACAAACTCAAAGAAAGCAGCGAGTTTAATGGCCAGTGTGCTCATCCCTACTTGTGCCTTGTTCTATGTCTTCTAGTTATTGCACAAGGTCATTTTCATGGCTATTGTCGCCTGCTTACCTTGCAGCAGCTAGATCTTATGTGACCTTGTATTAGATCAGTCATTAGTATGCCTCTTATTTCTTCATTTTAATATATTTTGAATAGTATGCCTTCTGATGAGTATCATCATATATGTTGGTTAACCAGATTTTGTTCCCAGCTTTTACATTGCCGCAATTAAGACATAGAAAGGGAATCTGGGGGGCTTCCTGACTCGCACGGCCCGCGCCCTTCCCCTTATATGTTTCTTTCTCTCTTTTTTTTCTTGATTTTTCTCCTATTGTCACGCCCCTTCTCCTCTGCACATTTTAATTTATTTACGTGTTCTTTTCGATTTTTTAAAGTTAGATTTAGAAACTTTTGATTTAAGATTTAAATTTTAAAGTCAAATTTTGAAGACATTCAACTCAGATTTGAAAACTTTCAATTCGAGATTTGAAAACTTTCAACTCAGATTCGAAAACTTTCAAGTCCAGATTTGAAAGTTTTGAAAACTTTCAACTTGAGATTTGAAAATTTTCAACTCAGATTCAAAAACTTTCAACTCGAGATTCGAAAACTTTCAGGTCCAGATTTGAAAATTTTGAAAACTTTCAACTTGAGATTTGAAAATTTTCAACTCAAGATTTGGAAACTTTCAACTCGATTCAAAAACTTTCAAGTCCAGATTTGAAAATTTTGAAACTTTCAACTTGAGATTTGAAAACTTTCAACTCGAGATTTGAAAACTTTCATGTCCAAATTTGAAAATTTTAAAGTTAAGATTTAAAAATTACTAGTAAACTAATCACTAGTAAAAATAGGAAACTAATCTAAACTAATTACGATTTTTTCTCCTATCCGTACGGAAGGAAAAAAAAACAGCGAAAAAAAAGAAACGGCGGCTAAAAAAGAAAGAAAAAAAGAGAGAAGCGCAGCTCGTGCGTGCATGGGCCTTAGTGGGCCAGCGTGCGCGCCGCCAACGCGTACGCGCGAATTAGCCTTTCCGGGAATCTGTAGGTAAGCCAACCCAAAATGGCAGAATATTTTCCCTAAAAAAAGGGCAGAATATTAGTCTGCAGAAAATGTACTAAAATAGCAGACCAGAAGACATAGAACTAGAAGAAGCATATTCAATCACATTCTTTAAGAACATTATACTTGTGTTTTTGAGGGGAAACAGTTTTACATGGACAAGATTTATAACCATTATGCAACCAGTTTTACATCGAGCCCAGATATAATTACACATAAAGCACTTGCAACAAAACAAGATACCACATCATCTTCAAAAAAATAGTAAATCAACAAAACAGAATGAACATCATGCAGTCACAAATATCATCAGGAATTCAGTAAAACACTACCAGGCACGTCAAACTTAGATGTATGATTTTAGAAAACAATAGCCTTGCAATAAAATGAAAATGAGATGATGTACATCCAAGACTAGTTCACTCAACTCAACATGTCATATATAGGTTACTATTTTTCTTGGATATGCTTTAATAACATGCGAGCATGAGTTTTACTATATTATGCAAATCTAAACATTTATAAAACAAAGTTGAATAGCTACTCTCCTTAAAGGCGATTTCCTTCATTCAAAGCAATTGACCACTGATATATCTTGTACCTCAAAATGATGGAGATTGTCATCACCATGAACACATTAACATTTTTTCCTTAACTCAAGGAAGAGATAGTTTGCTCCTGAGCTAGCTAATTCCTAACTGAATTATTTCATTGCTAATCTTTACCGAATGGAGACCAGCAGGTCTGATTACAACAAGGACAACTGAGGAGAAAAACATAAGAACAGAGATGCCTTCTTGCAACTCCAGAGTACTGCCAGTCAGCTTAGCTAAGTTCAATGGGAAGCTTCTTAGATTTGAAGATATCCTGTAATGACATCTCTCATTATCTTGCCATTAGGATCCACTTGCTCGCACTTCTCTTCACTATAACCAGTATCATGGTGATCTGGAAGTTGTACATCTGGAAGCAGTTCGTCTTCACAGTCTATGATTATATTGTGAAGCAAACAGCAGACAAGAATTATGCTCGGCAACTTGTTCTTATCAGGCCTCCACATGACTTTGTTTAAGATCCTCCAGGAGCCCTTCAGCCGTGACAGTGCTCTTGGTCCAAGCGTTCTTGCAGCCTTCTGCCTAGCATTAAAGCTGGCCATTGGAGCAGACAGACTCTCCCCTTCATAGGGAGTCATAAGCCATGGGAGTAAAGGATAACAATTGTTACCAACAATGTACTCCCTGATTTCTCCATTCTCTGCTGAAACCATGACAGGGCCATCCAAGCGAGTCCCAGCATCGCAGTGCTTGAAAAACCCAGAGCACTTCAGCAACCGCGAAAACATCATGCTGCCAGGCCAACCAGTGACAATATCAATAAACCTCATCTCATCATCAACAATCCCCTGCAGGAACATGCTGTAATTCTTCGCCGGGTCGCACCAATCCTCAGACGACTCGACAGCAGGAAGCGTCATGATAATGTGGGTCGCATCGATGGCGCCGCAACAATTCGGCAGACCGGACTCGGCCTCGAACCTCGCCTTGATCTGCTCCATCCTCTCCTGCCCGGGCCACACCAGATGATGCCGAGCCCGCTCTTCCATCGACTCGATGAACCTCCAAGTCACCTGCGAGACGGTGGACTGCCCGACACCAAAAGCCGCCCCCACCGACACCTGCGAATCGCCCGACGCCAGCCTCCTCATGGCAATCGCCACCTGCTTCTCCACACTGAGCAGCCTCCCCTCGATGTTGATCAGCCCTGACGGCGGCCTAGAGATCAAATCCTCCCTCACAATCGAGCAGATGTAGTCGAACGTCCTCCTCGACGTCCTGAAGAAATACCTGAACGCCTCCCCCTCATCTGACGGCGCGCTCAGACCTAGATTGGAATTGCAAGATTGGAATATCACGCCGAAACAATCAATCAACCTAAAGAATCGTCGACCGCACCAAATCTTGGGAAGGAACAAGCGATACCTAGCTCGGAGTGCTTGTGGAGGAAGGTGTACCACCACTCGGTGTCGAGGCCGCGGAGCTCGGGGGGGAGGGGAGGGGCGCCGCCGCCATACTTGACGATCTTGAGCTTGCCGGAGTCCTTGGACTTGCGCTTCCCTTTCTTGGACTTCTTCACCGGCGCCATCCTCCGGCGGCCGCGGCCGCGGCTGCTGCTGCTGCTGCTGATCTCCTCCACTTTCTTCTCCCTTCCCTCCCCTCTTCCTCCTCTTTTTCTCCCCCTCTTGCTAGGGTTCTTCTTTTTGGTTTTCTTCTCCATCTCTCCTATATATGGAGGATTTTTAATACTTGCTAGTGTAAATCCATTTTTTTAAGTAATTTTTTTGGGGCAAATGGAATCTTTGATTTCATCTCAGTAAAAAAGGAATTCAGTCTAATAACTTTCTGGGCACTGTCATGTATATAGATAAGAATATATCCAGATACATACCTGAAAATTATTACTCCTATATTTGTGGATTGAAGTAATAGTGTTGCATTTCAACAAAACAAAAATAAAATTTTCTTTCCATCTCGATAAAAAATGAAAGAGATTTCTTAGGTTTTCGCATTTGCTAGATCGGAATCCAAAATCTAAATTTTCTCAAAAATTTCATAAAACAAATTAAGGATAAAGTTCAAATGCATAGCTAGAAATTGCTAGAATGTTTTATGATGGAGTAAGTAAGTACATATCAACAAAACCAAATGAATGTTTACTTCCATCTGGTTAAAAAGAATGAAAGAGTTAGTTTTTTGTGTTTGCTATGTTGGAACCCTAAATTTCTCCTACATTTCAATATAACAAATGAAATTTTATTTTCATCTCAATAGAAAAGAGAGATCCTATATGTTTTTAGTTTTTCATACCCGCCAGACCCGAATCCTAAACTTAAATTATCTATTAGATTTCAACAAAACAAGATAAAAGAAAAGAAGTGAAAAGAAGTCCTTTTGTTGATTTTAGTTTAGTTTTTCAAGCGCTGAATCAGAATCCTAAATCTATTTTTTTCTAGTTCATTTCAACAAAACAAATATATATTACTTCCATCTCAGTAAGAAAGAAAGACACCTTACATGTTCTTAGTTTTATGTATTCGCTGAATCAAAAATCCTAAATCTTCTAATACTTTTCAACAAAACAAATAATATCTAACTTTCATCTTGATAAAAAAGAAAAAGATCTTACCTGTTCTTAGTTTCTTCACCTTTGCACACGACTAGCTCTTCTATCGATTTTGTATGGTGAGATCTATCATAGACCTTATCGTTTACCTTGGTTTTGTTTACTCGTGTGTGGCGCCGTCCATAGCATGTATATATAGGATGACCTATCATAAACCCTAATTATCCTTGCCCCCACTATCGACACCGTTGATTAACTACCTGTTATGAAATTAACGTTCCCGATCTATCTTTAAAGATATATGTTTAAAGTAGGCCGGCCCAAAACAATAAGCCCGGCCTATCTGTGTACCCTGACTATAAATTTAATTTTGCATGTGGTGTATGAAGTTTCATATTCCATTTCTTTACAGAATGATAAAATTAAGACCACTCCAAAACAATTAATAAACTCATTCTTGAATGAAATTAGTAAACTTTTACATGTAACTCAAACTGTGTGACTTGTATACCCCAAATTTTACGACTAAAAGATATTACTAACACACTTTCTTTTGCGGCCCATACTAAGAAACAATACGCAGTAGAGACTAGGAAGCAATCTATCGATAGATAAAAATGATCTAACAATATATATAGAATAGAAACTTTTACAATTGGCTAATTCATATTATTGTTGTTAAAAGATTGTTTCATACATTAGCACTAATTAATTCTAATAGGAATTAGGAAAGAACAATCAAATTAACATGCTCTTACAACAAAATTAATACTGGAAACTAAATGCAACGAAATGACAAGGGCTCCTTTTGAGACGCATGAACTTCGACTAATTTTCACACGAAATGGCTCAGTTCCTCTAAAATTTTCATAATATTGCTTCATGCCAAAGAAGTTCTTTAAGTTTTAGTATAGGTTTCTCTGTTTTTTTTTTACTACCTCTATCCCAAAATAATTGTATTTTTAGGATTTGAATTTGTCCCAAAATAATTGTTACAATAGAGTACTAAAGATCTCATTAATCACTTTTCATTTAAATTTCTTCCTATTTTATCCTCAACTACCATTTCACTCTTACCTATACACCATTTAATAAGAGACATTATAGTCTTTCTACTCAAACCTTAATATATGCTAAACAAATTAGAATTACAATTTATATTGGACGAATGTAGTATTTGAGAAAATTCAATTGGTATCAAAACAGGGGCATTTAACCTTTTGCCACTTTTAAGACGCGGCAATTAAGAATTTGCGACTTACCGTCTATAACATGTGTGTCCAGTGACAAATTCTTATTTACCACTTATAAGAGTAGCAAATAGTTTGCAAATTTGTAAATTTCAGTCTCCACCTATGGTCTCTGGGCTGTATCCATTGAAATTGAATGGATTCCATTCATGTTAGTGTTACTACTTCTAAAAAAATCCTCTAGCTTACCATAATCACACGTTAAAAAAATAAAAAGGAAAAGAAAAAGAAAAGAGGAAAAAAAAGAAAACTGTAGCGCAATCTCTCCCCCTCGCGTCTCGCGTCCCGGCGGCGGCGGCGGCGGCGGCGTGCCTCCTCCCGGCGACCTCGAGCCTTCCGCTCATCCATCTCTGCAGAGGACACCACCAGGGTCCCATGGAAGCAGCGGCGGCGGCGGAGGCGGAGGCGGGAACAGGCGGAGGCGGCGGAAGGGACGGGACGGCGACGAAGAAGAAGGCGGCGGCGTGCGACGTGGCGGCGCTGCGCAAGTGCCTCGAGGAGAACAAGGGCGACCGCTCCAAGTGCCAGGACCACATCGACGCCTTCCGCTCCTCCTGCTCCACCAACCCCCCGCCGCCTCGCAGGTCCTAGAGCTTTCGCCCAATCAGCCAAAGCAACTCTGTGTCTTTCTTTTTTTCTTTTTTGCTTTTACTATCCTCGATCCGAATAAATGGTTGTTTCCAGTAGCTGTTTCGATCAAACAAGCAGAGTAAAAACAATTGGCATATGAACAAATGGTTGCTCAGCTGCACTGCAGTCTGCAGGATCAATGTTTGTTCTTGGTTTTGTCTGGAAATGTATTGGATGATTAAGAGCATAATTAGCTTCATCCTCTCTATTATTGTTGTTGTTGCTGTTTTCTTAACTTGCTGTGCTGATGAGATTTCTCGATGCCCGCATGCTTCAATGTCTGCTTTGAATTGGCAGTAAAAAAAAACATGTTATGGTGTCAAATTTGGTGGTACAAAAGTTTTTAGTTGTGCAGATCCCTGCGCTGCAGCTTTGCTCCAATTTCCAACTAGTTGAAGATTACAACATATAAATATTGCATTTGTGCTCACCATTTTAGCTGGCAAGATTGGGAAATGGGTACAAGGATGTAGGCTAAGTACTCCATTTCTCACTGTTCTGAATTTTTGGTGAGATGCATGGAGACAACCTGCAGACCGTGGGGTAATGCTGCATATGTGTGGTGATGAAACATGAACATTTTTGCAGCAGGAAAGACTGCTCAAATATTGCTCATGATCACCAGTTCTGAACTTCTGATTATACAGCAAAAATAGGGCTCTCCAAACCCTGCTAGTTTTTTTTTCTCACCCATACAACACATGCATCCATTCAAACCAAAAGAATTTAGGTAGAAGAATGATAATCTCACTCATAACTCATAAGCAGGTAGTGGCCAAAATTTAGGCTGAAAAAAAAAAGAAAAGATCCAATCAATTCTTCAGTTTAAATGACACATCCGATGCTTCATCGATCCTTTTATCGAAATGCACTTCGTGGTAGCGGCATTGGCTGCTGCAGAAGGCTTTCTCATCTCTGAAAGGCAAATAATGGTGAATCAGTAAACTATACTATTTATCACGACGCGATAAACACACAGTGCAAAAGCTGTGTGCAGTTTGATAGTAACAGTATGCCTTTGTCGTAATGGAGTACATGACAATATTATCATTCAATCAAATATGTACTATATGTTGATCAGTTGGTCGAAAATCGGGTATTGTTTTACGAAAATTCAGAAGAAAACAACTGATTGGTGGCCTAATGCATCCAATGACTCAATAATTAGCAGAGAATATTGGAGGCAACATCTAATGATCCATCTCATTCTCATCCTGAACTCTCATCCTGAACTTAAGGAGAAGGAAACGTCACATTCATAGAAAAAAAATTTCAGGGCCGGCAACTAATGACTGACAAAGATTGGAGACCCCAGATCTACAGTCCTATCAATGTTTGAGTTAGGGACCACAAAAAAATGAGCCAGAATTCAATCAAATTTCTGCAACCTGAGATCAATTGATGTCACTCATTGGCTCACAATGACAGCAATGCTGCATCAAATTGTTTACCAAGCTGTGGCTAAACTATATTTACATTAGCTTTCATCCAAATGAAAAGAAAAAAAAAGAAATCTTATTGGAGTGGATGACAATAGACCATATGAGCACCACCACAATTGCAGCCAAAGACGTCGCTTTGCACTAAGTAGGTTGACAATAAAGTATGACCATGATCTTATCTAGTATACTTAAAAAGCATTTCCATTATCTCTTAACAGGAGTTACATATGGAAGTAATTTTTAAAAGGCACCCAAAAATAAACTTCATAAAAACCGCAACAAACAATGCACTCAATGCTGACCAAACCGACAGAATTTCATCAAACTACTTCTCCAAATCTTTTCAAATATCAAATATCAGCAAAAATATCAAGTGAATCAATCATACTCAGTTACTTACAACGATGAAATTTCGATGTTCAGAGCATCAAAATTCAGAGTTTCTTTTTTTTTTCTTTTTGGATTTTACCTGTGCTGCATGAAGAGGCGGCAAGCGTCGCCGCCGGCGGCGGAGCTCTCGACGACGAGGTCATCGAATATGTGGGTCATCTTGGGGTTGGGTCCCCGGGCGATGACGCAGGTGTAGTCCTCGGCGAGCTCCGCCTCGCCCTGCGCCGTCCTCGCCGCCGCCGACGACAGCGGCGACCGCTGCACCGGCGAGAGCAGCGCCAGCTGCGCGTCCCGGTTCTTCACGCCGAACTCGATCGGCGAGCTCGGCGGCGGCGGCATCTCGCCGCCGCCGCCGCCGGCGAGCACCCTCTCCTGAGGCAGCTGCACCCGGAGCCGCATCATCCCGAGCAGCACCCTGCCGGTCCTCCCGTAGCACCGCCGCTCGCCCTCGCCGTCGACGAGAACTCCGGCGAGCCCGGTCACCTGACCGCCGCCGCTCAGCGGGTTCCTTGGGCTCGCGCAGGGATGGTTCTTGGCCTGGTCGTCGACGGAGAAGATGCTCCTCGGAGAGAAGCCCTGCAGCGACGACGACGACGACGACGACGACCTCGGCGAGAGGAGCCCCCCGCCGCCATTGGCGAGCTCGCTGCTCAGAGGTGAGGGAGCTTGCAGATCACACCTCTTCTTCAGCATTTGAGCTCGAGATAATTAATCCAGCAAGTTTTAATCTAACCTTACTGCGATCTTAAATTATTAATCCAAATCTACTGCGGATTAATCTGTTGTTCTTGGGATGGTGCCAATGAGCAAAAGAGATTCAGAAACGATTAGAAAAAGGAAAAAAAAAGATCAGATCAAACAAATGTTCAGAAAAAAAAAACCAAACTGAACCACCAAAAGATTTGAGCAACCAAACAAGATTGACAAAGATCAAGTCTCTGCCATCAAACAAGTAGAAGAAAAGATGTTCTTCCTCTCGAGGAAATAAAAAGAAGAAATCAAAATTTCAAGAAAAGAGAGGTATTATTGATTGATTAGTGAGAACAGCAAGAACAAGGCTGCGGATATGATATTGCTGTCTGCTCACTCTCTGCTGCTGCTGCTGCTGCTGTGGAGAGTGATGAGGCTATGGAGGATAGGAGAGGGAGCAGTGAGCTAGCAGAAGGAGATTATGCTGCTCGCTCCCCGAGGGAGGCCAGAATCCAAGGGGAGGCTTATTTAAAAGTGTAGTTCATCAAAATTTGGCCATCTTGTTTTGTTTATTTGCATCCATGCCCAAAAGGCCACAAGAAAGTTCATTGGTGATGGTCACTCCCTTGCTGGAAAGGACTGCTAGTAGTATTTAAAATTTGCCTCTAAAATATAGGAGCTTTGTTAATTTTTTTCTAGGTACTGGTTAAATAGCCATCACAGTTGAAAATACTTTTTTTTTTAGCAGAGAGCACAACGGCAAAGTTTTCTTTGTAAAAAAAAAGAAATGTAAATATTTTTGCAGGCTTTTTATGAAAAAAGGACTTTATTTTCAGCATAGGGTAAAGGATACTACCGCTCAATTTACGAGGAGTAGATAGATAGGTTAAGGAAAACCTCCACGTACTCGCACGTTTCTACGTTAAGAGACTTACCAGTGGGCCATGATTAAGGTGGGACCCACCTGTCATGCACGTGAGATCTTTACGAGTCGAGGAAGGGGGTACGTTTTCCGGTTCGCACAAAGAGATGTCCCATCGAAAGTACTGTGCCAATTGTGGATAATTTCCGCTGTACTTTTCTTTTCCCTTTTTAGACTGTTCGCTAGAGCAGGATGGAAAGTGCGCTCATAGAACGGAGTACTATATTATCGTGTGATTAACTAAGTATTAATTAAATTTTTTTAGAAATTGCTCAATATAACTTTTTTTAAAAAAAAACTTTCGTATAAATTTTTTTAAAAAAAACATATCATTTAACAGTTTGAAAAGCGTGCGCGCGAAAATTAAAAAGAAAGTGTTGGAAACTTGCTCTTACAAACACAGCCTTACCCTCTTTGGCTTGCTTGTCGGATATCTGTATGCGTCGGCCACGAGGCTCAGCGTGGCCGTGCTCCCCGGCCGCGGCCACGGTGGCCGGAGTTCGTAGGGACGGCGGCGCGAACTTCTTATCATGGGTCTGGTCGCATAGACGGTATGTGGAGCTTGAACTGAGGTAGCAGATGTTAATTTCAGATTCTTTTAAGATAATACAACCTTCAGCCTAAAATATAAGAGCTTATACTCAGTTGGAACATTTGCTAGGCTATATATAGGTACCACCGAGCAAGACAAATAATAGAAAATGTTCTATCCGATCCTAAGTTTTTATATTTTAGAACAATTACACATGGTGGTGATATAATCGCTCCTAAATCTGTCCTGTATTACTAAAATAATATTAAAAGAAACATACCCATACATGAGTTACATAACTATTATCTGACCGTAGAGCCATATTATCTGACCTGATTAAGTAATTAATGTACACGCATATGCTTGATTTTACTGTTGATGAAAACAAAAAAACAGGATCTTCTGCGTCATGATTCATAATTCGTGACATCTCATAATTTGTTAGTAGTTTCATTGTAAAATAGGTAAAAATGTAAGGAGCAGCAAGTGCCAAAAATAGTTATCTTTGGCCCTGTTTAGATCCTCCAAAATGGCAAAAGTTTTGCCATTTTGGATCTAAACACTAGTAGCAAAAGTTAAATATTTGTCATTTGCTATTTGCTAGTCCGTAGTAGCAAATTGTGCCAAAAAGTGCTTTGGGACCACTCTCTCTCTCCACCAAAAAGTGCTAGAATGGCAAAAGTTTAGGATGCATCTAATCACCAGCTAACTAGTACTTTTGCAATACTAAAACTTTTGCCACCAAAATATTTGTCATTTGGCATTTGCTATTCCAAATGGATGTAAACATGCCCTTTGCAAATCTATCGGTGCTTTCATAAAACCACATAAATAATACACCAAAATTAATTACAAATTAAATTAAACCCTTTGTTATAAATACTTCTACAAAACCAATATACTTTTGATGAAAACAACGTGATTATACCATCAATACAACATAATCAACACGTATGCCAATTTCCGCGTGCCATCCGATGGCGACTGAGAAAATGACTACCATGCGAATCAAACTATCATGGCGTTTAAACCCCTCGACTTTTCCACCTCTTGAAAGGCTCCGAAGCACAATTTTTACTCACTATTGCGTGGGATAAGCATTTTCCATAATTGATGGAGCATCTAGGAGGGAAAGAGTGAGGCTCAAAAAAGGCCATCTCGCCCCATGGATGACAAGAAATTAAAGAGGCCATGGCTGGTCCTGGGTTCGCCATGAAGCCAACGTCTTCTCCATCTCCCTCCAAAACAAAAGTGCATATGATATGCTAGCTAGCTGCAGAAACATGGACCAGTGAAATGCGTCCAATGGACACCTCTCGCCATCCATGGATCGATCGAAAGGACTCAACTTTTGATGGAGAAAAATGGACGATTTGACGCAACAACGTCGATATATATATCCATCCATCTATCTATCGATCGATCTCGAGGTTCCTGTAGGAATATATGTTAGGGCTCCATTATTTGGTATATGTGTCGCATAGAAATGTTTGGTCAGATTTGCATGGTAATATGCCCATATTTTCTTTCTTTTTATCGAAGGGATCATTTGATGTATTTGATGGGACATGACCTATCCATGGAAGGTACGGTGTATAGTATGCTACTAGCTACTTTCCTGAATTTTCACATTTTAGTTTCTAAAATTTATTTTACAAATAAATTTTACAAATAGACCTTTGAAAAAACTTATTCTACAAATGTATTCTTTTTTGTTGGCACCATGATCAATGTCTTGGCGCCAATAACACAGTCATATACACCCCTCGCCTCATGTAGCTAAGTTAGTAACGTGGAGGGGATCGGTCCCAAAGAGATTGGTGCCAGGTACCTATTTGTAAAATAAATTTTCTGAGAAGGGTAAAAAATATAAATATTTGTTCTTACAAATAGACTCAGCACTTCTTATAAATAGGTCGTCAATGCGAGTCTCTTTGGCACCGACTCCTCTATGTCTTCTATGTCTTGGCTGTTGTGGGAACGAGAGTATTGGCACTGAGACGTTGTACCTCGGCGTTAGGGACCTTGGCACCGTGAAAATGGTCTATTATTAAAATAAATTTGTTTAGAGATTTATTTATAACATAAGTTTTTAAAAAGAGTCAAAATGTAAAAAGTGCTGAGCTACTTCCCCTCTCAAAAGTTCAGTTCATATGGACTATGTTACATGCTACTATATGTCAATTTTCATGGAATAATTGGGTTAGCCATGCTGACCAACACGCAAGGCTATCTTTCTTTTTTTTTTTGGAGTATCTGCATATTTTTTTCCGTCAACAGTATATGTCTAGATTTTTCGTCACGGCATGTATCACCATTCATCTAGCAAACTGATCAGATAAGATTTATGATCACTATAAGGAAAGAGGATGATACAATTGTTTTCAAATTCCTCCATCCTAAACTACAAGATGGGATGGCGGGCTAAAGGAAAAAGTTAGTTATCTTTGGACTCAAATTATTAATTAATTACAGTTAGCGCGATTAACTAAATATATAATTTGCCGTACAATTTATCCGGGCTGTTTCTAAACAATTACTACCTCTGTCCCAATATAAATGCATTTGTGAATTTCCGTGTGTAATGTTTGACCGTCCGTCTTATTTGAAAATTTTATTAAAAAAATAATTAGTCACATACATATATAAAATACTATTCATATTTTATCATCTAATAACAATAAAAATACTAATCATATTTTTTTTCAAATAAAACGAATAGTCAAAACGTTGAACACGGAAACCCACAACTACATTTATATTGGAACGGAGGTAGTATTTCAATTTATTCCAAATGCTCAATTACATCAATGGTATACATGCAAAAAGAAGGAATTAGTGGTAGCTATAGCTAGCTAGCTGTGGCATTGTACTCCTTCCGTTCTAGAATGTAAGGGATTTTAGATGGAGGAGATACTTTCTAGTAGTACGAATCTGGATAGGGAGCAGGAAGTGTCCCATCCATCCAAAATCTCTGTAAAAAAAAAACTCAAAGTACAATGAATCTGGACTAGAGGTCAATCTCTTTTTAGATTGAGCTTTTTTTAATGGGGGAGTATATATTACTGCAGGTGCGTGACGTGGTGATAGCAACAAGTGAGAAGGGGATGGTACAACGCGAGGACAGAAGCCGTGCCTGCCCAACAGGGCGCATCGTACACATCACCATACGTGGTTTTAGTTCAGCCATGCATCCATCACTCCACTGATGAGCCACCCCGGCCAGAGAGGAGACTGCACCATAAGTACGGATCAGTAGATAGATAAAAATTTGATCCCTATATTCATAAATGGTACTATTTAATTACCAGCTATTGCAGCTTGCTAACAATCATCTGATCAAAGAAGATGATCAATCTTCATGTAATAGAATAGGAATACTCCCTCCTACCATCGATATTTTGACGTCATACATCCACATACTCTACGTTTATGTGGTATCAAATATTAATAACTGAAGATCCTATCTTCGTTATATGTTAATTTTTAAATGTACGACATTGTTGATATTTAATTATAATGTTTAACTATTTAACTTATTAAAAATGTAAATATCATTTATTTTGCTATGACTTATTTTGTCATTGAATTTATTTTAATCGTGACTTATATTTTTACATTTTTACACTAAATTTTCGAATAAGATAATGGTCAAACGCGCACTGATTGAATCAAAACTGTTTAATTTCTTTTATGAAAGTAGTGTTTCACTAAACAAACAGTATATATTCTCATCTAACAATAAAAGAAAATCCCGAGAGACTACAAAATACAGTAAATTTTGTCACCATATATGGCACAATCGGTTGCCCTCTAGCCCTTTAATTAATTAGCATCTTTGTTAGTCCTTCTTATGTTTAAAAATTAAAACGACCCTCTAGCTAGCCCTTGACTAAGTCTCCGAACGAGTCTAATGGCGACAAATATACGCGAGGATTTAACAAAAATATTAATTGGTCCAGGTTGGGACGCAATTCGAATCAAAACTAAAAGGAAAAATCTATTTGGATTGCGACAGTGCAAGTATGCGCATTATAAAATCTGTTCGCTTTCACTGCTGCAGGACCGCGCACATGTACAGTTAAGTCAGCGTTCTCGATCATCATATATCGAAGCAAGATATGTTCAAATCTTTGGACAACTGATTATTACGCATTTCACAATCTAACACTGTCATGCAGGGAACTAGCGATGTATACATATATGTGTATTAACTATAACATTGGAACGAAATTTAGCCATATGTATGATATAATTTAATTCCTTCTTCTTTTTAGATGAAACCGTATATATGTACATTTTTCAATATGCATGAACAAACAGCAAGGTTCGTTGTCAATTTGTACATATTCAAATCAATATATAGTGTTCACGTACTGAGTATGTGCATGTGATGTAATATATCTAATGTACATGATATATAGTTTCGCAGTCGAACCTTGAGAAACCATTGAAATCGACATCTCATCAAGAGTACATCAACAATTAAAAGAAAGCACCGGTGATGTAGCTCGGTCAGGTATGAGGGCATGACTTTATCCACACCAGGGTTTGAATCCCATTAATTAATGACATTGGTTGTGCGCTTTCAATAGGATTTTATTGGAATAGGGATTTATCTCTTAGGCCATTCTCAACCCAATATTAGAATATTGTCCATAACATTAAATAAACTGCCACGTAGGATAAAAAGTAATGTGGCAAGTGAATAAATAATGAAAGAAAAGGAAACCATGTCTTGCATGAGACATGGTTTCTACACAACATCCAAGACATCATATGAGATAATTAGCATTAAACTTAAGCATGGAATAGTAGTGTTTGCATTGGAAGAGTGGTGTCTAGTACTAGTTTCTTGATGATGTAGAGTTTATGGAAACTATGTCTGGTGTTTTGGGTTGTGAATGGTCTTATCTCTCTTTAAGCGTGTGTTAGGAGACATATTCGTCAGTGTCTACGATATATATTATCTTGGTGTGTATATATATATCTGTCTTTCGTGTAATAATACAAAAAAGAGCACATCAACTGTATTCATTCATTCACATCAATCGTCGCGACTGACTAGATCAACTCTCTCTTGATTTATCATTATCGTATTGAGCAATGATAGATAATTGATATCCAGTCATAGAAAAAAAAAGTAGCAACAAATGGTGTAGATGCAGCTATCATCATTCATGAGCCAGCAATGTTGATTAATTCGTGTGGCCGGCGCACACAGAATTCAAACGGACCTATGCAAAAGCCATGCACATAAAACCAATGCTACCTATCTTTTTGAAAAAGGAGATAAACTGAGGCAGATGACACCATCTTCACTCTTGAAATGCGTCCAACTTAGCCAGCACCAATGATTTACAAATATTCATTCGATCGCTTACCTCTTTAATTTTTTTCTTAATAATAGATTCATTACGGCCTTTAAACTATTTAAAAAACTACAGCCAATTATTATAAAAATCACACATCGAACAACTGTGAACTTTACACTACTACGAAAACCATTTTTCGTGGCGGCTATTTTGGATTTTTGCTGGAGAAATTTGCAGCCGCCACAAAGCAAAGGCAAAGATCTTCGCTAGCGGTTATTGACCACCAGCAAAAAAACTATTTTCGCTGGCGTTGGCTTAAGACGGCCGCCAGCAAAAATGGATTTTCGCTGGCGGCTGTGTTAAATCGGCCGCCAGTGAAAATCTATTTTTGGCCCAAAAAGAAATACCCATGCAGCTGCGCAGCCGCCAGTGAAAATACCCATGCAACCGCCCATTGATTCATTAATTTCAAAATTCAAATCCACATCTAGATTCGCTGCTCATTTCCAAATTCAAATACGAAATACAAAATCATCAGCAACACAGATCAAACATCATTTACACAGATCAAAAATATGTGCATCATCTGGAACAACACGCAAAAAAAAAGAAAAAAAATCAAATCTAGCAACACGATCGGAGGAGGGAGCCGTGGGAGCACGGTCGACGGCGTCGAGGTCGGAGAGGAGGGAGCCGGGTAGCACGGTCGACGGCGTCGAGGTCGGTGCCACCCTCCCCGAGGCCCGGCGGCGGCGGATCTGCCCTCCCCGTGTGCCCGAGCTCCGCCCGGCCGTGACCGTGCCCTAGAGCCGCCGCCCGCTCCCGAGCACCGCGCGCCCACGCTCGAGAGTCGCCGCCGCGCCCGCACCCGAGAACCGCCGCCCGTGCCTGAGCTCGCCGCTGCCTTCGCTGTGCACTCCGTGGAGGGAGAGAAGGAGCTGGAAGAGGAAGAAGAGAAGGGGGCCGGAGCGGCGGTCGTATGCGGCGGTGGCCGGAGCTATGCCGACGGCAGCCGGCGGTGGTGGAGAGGCGACGAGCTGGCGGCGGTGGAGAAGGGAGGGAGGAGAGGTGCAGAAGGGAGAGAGGCGGACTGGGCGGTGGGAAGGGAGAATGGAAAAGGGATAAGGACGGACTGGGCGGTGGGCGCGTAGTGGATTTTATTCGCCTCAAATTTTTTTTGTAGCGGTCTTTCTTACCTACCGCCATTCGCTGGCGGACACTTAAGAGGTCCGCCTAAAAAAATAGAGTTTTTTTTATGGCGGACCTCTTAGCTTGGCCGCCAGCAAAAATCGGTTTTCGCTGGCAGTCCATGGCCTCCCACCCCTCGATATGTTTTTTCTGGCGGTTTTCGCGTATGGCCGCCAGCGAAAATAATAGGCCAACGTCATAAAAAATTATTTTTCTATTAGTGTTACAAAATCACAGTTTGATTAAAAACTAATAATTAATCCCTCGAATTTTAAATATAAATTGCTTTTGTCAATGGATTAAACGACTGATACATACTTGCATCATTGCATGAACTTTCCATGTCATATTCACATGATATACAAATAATTCGGTTACCTATTTAATTTCGTACAATATATTCATAAGATTAATAATTTAATAGGTTGTCCATTGAATTGTCCGGCGTTTAACAAACCACATCCTTTTCTCTACTTCCTTTCTTTTTTTTTCTACCCTATCAAATAACCTGCGTGGGATCATTTCTTAAAGACCGATGACTCAATTCTGTATCCTTATATTTCTCAATTATTTTCTAACTATAAATCTTTTATTTTTAGAATTTTCTAGATACTTTTCACATTTATTTTCCTTCTTGCGTGAGCTCTTCATGAAGTTGACAGGCAAATAAATATAGCTAGTACTGATGTTGGTTAAAGAAAGAGAGCAAGAATCCAAAAAGGAGTACTATCCCATTCAGTTTGCTTGAGAAACCTGATCAACTATGATATGAGCATTGGATTTAGTGGATCAAAATACTTTTAGGTAAACTAGAGGTTTTGTGGGGCAAAAGCTCCAATTAAAATCATGCATGTCATTGATGTTGGAGACTAGTGGGGTGTATGCTGTGGGAATATGCCACTGTTCTTGATGAGCGCAAAAGGACTTCATTTGATGGAACAGGTGTAGGGGAAAAGGTAGTAGGTACTACTATATTATACATTCAGGTATATTAAGGCACAAATTTTGGTTCAAGATCTCTTATCACCATATATATTTGTACTTTCTAGATAGTTTGTCTACTGAATGTATATTTAAGTCATGTTTTAGATAGAAATGTTTATGCTTGGATTAATGATTTTTAGATAACACAAATTAATTAGCTTAGCAAGGAGATAAGAAAGAGCTCAATTATATATCCCAAATGCATTCACATATAACACCAGAAATTAAGTCACTATTCTTGCAAAAAAAAATGGTACTCCCTTCGTTTGATGTTATAAGAGACGTAGACTTTGGTCAAAGTCAATTTATTTTAAGTTTAACTAAATTTATAGGCAAATATAGTAATATTTATAATACTAAATTAGTTTCATCAAATCAATAATTAAATATATTTTTATAATAAATTTATCTTGGGTTGAAAATATTGCTAGTTTTTTTCTATAAACTTAGTCGAACTTAAAGCAATTTAATTTTAAGCAAAGTCAAAACGTATTATAACCTGAAACGGAGGGTGTAGTCATTATCACTACCAGATTTGCTCCTTCTTTCATTGATCTTTACATCAAATTATCACTACATTTCTAATTTCTACAAGATGCATGGCTGTAACTTAATTATCGTACCAAGGCTGTTTATTTGTTTTCTAAATTTTCCTTATATATTTTGTTGACACTTTAGAAGGGAGAAGTACATTTTTTTTATACCTGAAAATCCATCTCTATGGAGAATACATTACGTGAGTATGTTAGTCAAAGCAAGCACATAATGCTTGTTTAAACGAAAAGATAAAGCGAAGTGTCAGTGTCAAAAGCCCAGCCCAATCTGATGAATCAGTGTAAACCAGGCCCAAGTCGGCCCATTTGTATCATCAAAATATGAATTATCCTTGCAGCTATTATCATTAATAGAAAACCTAGACAAGACAATATCTTATACATGATACCTATTATAGTACCAGCTGCATGGTACCCGATATCTGTGATATCTGTTACCCAGCACCTGTGATACCTAAATCTGATACCTATGATACTCGTGTAAGAGAATAGTTAATATGCCTATCATGTTACAACGGGATCCGTTTTGTAGCAGTCCTCTTAATTAATTTACCGGTAATTAAAAAACAAACAACAAATTAACAACTCCCGCCACTCCCGCGGCGCGCGCGCCTAAATTAAGCGAGGCCGCATGCAATTGCAAGTTCGGTCGGATAGAGGGAAGCAGATATCAGAGGCTCAGAGAGATCGACGCGCGCGCGAGACATCGGAGGTCGCCGGCGCCGGCGACGACGACCGAAGACGATCAGATAATGCCGACCACCAAGTGCGCCGTCCCGCTGGTGAGCGGCGCCGCCGGCGGCGGGGGATCGGCGGAGCTGACGCGTCAGCTGTCGTCGACGCAGGCGAGCCCGCGGTTCAGCTTCTCGAGCGGCGTGCTGCCGTCGCTGGGCTCCAGGGGCGGCGGCGAGCGCCACGCCCGGCTCCGGCGGTTCATCGTGTCCCCCTACGACCGCCGCTACGAGCTGTGGAACAACTACCTCATCCTCCTCGTCGTCTACTCCGCGTGGGTGACCCCCTTCGAGTTCGGCTTCGTCCCGGAGCCCGCCGGCGCGCTCGCCGCCGCCGACAACGCCGTCAACGCCTTCTTCGCCGTCGACATCGTGCTCACCTTCTTCGTCGCCTACACCGACCCCAAGACGTTCCTCCTCCAAGACGACCCCCGCAAGATCGCGCTCCGCTACATTACCACCTGGTTCGTCCTCGACGTCGTCGCCACCATCCCCACCGAGCTCGCCCGCCGCATCCTCCCACCGGACCTCCGCTCCTACGGCTTCTTCGGCATCCTCCGCCTCTGGCGTCTCCACCGCGTCGGCATCCTCTTTGCTCGGTAACCTACCTTCTACGTATACGGGGAGTTTCTGATTCTAGAAGAAGTTGCAGCTGTTAGAATCTTTTCAAATAATTCAGCTTTTTTATCCATATTCTAATAAGTTATAGTTATACAATCTAGATGATGAATTAGAGGGGAAACTATTTTGATCCCTCGAGGGATGTCCACTCGTTTGCTTAAAAACTATCCAAATGGTTATGAGAAATTCTAGAAAAAATTGACAACACACGTACAACATATCTATACAACTCTACAAAATTTTAGGTCCAAACTCAACTCACACGTTGAGATATAAAAATGACAAATTCAATGTATGAATAGTAGCGCATTGTTTACATCAGCGTCCTCTTTGCTCGGTAAACTACCACGTATACGTCGTCACCTCTTAATCTTATGAGTAAATTTCTTTTTTTCGCGAACGCGCAAAAGGATTGCACGTCAATATATTAGAAGAAAAAGAGTTTTAGTTACATGACGCAATCAGCTAGACTGGCTTATGTTAGGGGAAGGAAGAAAAAGCAAAAGAAGGAAAAACTAAAGCTTAGAGAAACTATGGCGGCTAAAAACAGACTCCAAGCAGTGGGAAGGGGCCAAGCCAGACTCCCAACAAATCCCTAAAAGTGGCGACGCCAGCTAAAGACTACAGATGGTCCTCTACATGGACGGACTCCAGAACCACTGAGACCGAAGAGTGAGCGGAGTCGAAAACCCTAGAGTTCCGCTCCTCCCACAGACACTAAGAGACCAGGAGCACCAGGGAGTTGAAGCTGTCGCGGAGGTGCTCAGGTAAGCAGGCCCTGGAGGACGGTCACCAGTCCTGGAACCAGCTGCCACGGGGTGGGAGAGGGCAGACCAGCTAGGAGGCAACAACAAGTATTATGAGTAAATTTCATCTAACCACGAGTATTATGCTCTAAGTTATACAAAATCATAGAGATTTTCACACGTAAAATTTTATAAAATCACAATGTTAGATCATTTTGGCTTTAATCTATTATAATTTTGAGTTTTACAATCATATTATGAGTTATTTATTCATTATTTAAATGTTACATCTGTATATATCAAATTCGTTAACGATGTGACTTTATGAAACTTTAAAACTATAATACTTGCATTATATGTCACGTGCAAACATTCCTATGGTTTTCTGCAACTTTGATTATAATTGGCGGTGTTTTACAAAATTTATTGTAACTTGAATTTCTTTCCATCTGAATTCAGTCTCGAGAAGGACAGGAAGTTCAGCTACTTCTGGGTTCGATGCGTGAAGCTCGTTTGCGTAAGTTACGCCAGGTTCAGAATCTGAAGAATCCTCAACATTTCAATCTTCAGAAAAAAATTGTCACCGTCGTCGTACTCGTACGTCGTCTTCTTCCTCGTGTCGTGGCGCAGGTGACGCTGTTCGCGGTGCACTGCTCGGCTTGCTTCTACTACCTCCTCGCCGACAGGTACCCTGACCCGACGAACACCTGGATCAGCGCCTACATGCCCAACTTCCACAAGGCCAGCATCTGGAGCCGCTACGTCGCCTCCATGTACTGGTCCATCACCACCCTCTCCACCGTCGGCTACGGCGACATGCACGCCGAGAACACCGGCGAGATGGTCTTCACCACCACCTACATGCTCTTCAACCTCGGCCTCACCGCCTACATCATCGGCAACATGACCAACCTCGTCGTTCACGGCACCAGCCGCACCAGGAAATTCGTCAGTAGTCACTCACTTTCTTTGATCGATCCATTGCTGACCTTGAAGAGTAGCGATTCTTTGGTGTTCTTGGTTCAGTATACTCTAGTACTCGAATCACATGATGGTTTCTTGGAGTGTTCTTGGTTTTGATCTTGTCTGAATTTTGGGTGGTTTTTGGTGTGTGAATTAAGAGAGACATAAATTCGTCAGTAGTCACTCATTTTCTTTGATCGATCCCTTGCTGTTCTTGATCAGCAGCAATTCTTTGGTGTTTCTTGGTTCAGTATACTCTAGTACTCACATCACATGATGGTTAATTTCTTGGTGTGTTCTTGGTTTTGATCTTGTCTGAATTTTGGGTGGTTTTTGGTGTGTGAATTAAGAGGGACATGATCCAAGCGGCGACGAGCTTCGCGCAGCGGCATCAGCTGCCGGCGAGGCTGCAGGAGCAGATGGTGTCACATCTGAGCCTCAAGTTCAGGACGAATTCAGAAGGGCTCCATCAGCAGGAGACATTCGAGGCGTTGCCCAAGGCCATCAAGTCAAGCATCTCACACCATCTCTTCTTTGGCCTTGTCCAGAATGTCTACCTCTTCGAGGGTGTCTCAAACGATCTCATCTTTCAGCTGGTAATTGATCTCAGTGTGATTATGTGAGTTTTGTTTATTGTTTCAATTCTTGTTGGATGTTCATGAGTTGTTGATATTTTCTGTGATTGTAATCTGAGTGAAGGTTTCAGAGATGAATGCTGAGTACTTTGCGCCGCGAGAGGATATCATACTGCAGAATGAAGCGCCTGCGGATTTCTACATCATAGTCTCTGGTAGTATGGTAAAATCACTCCCTATAACTTGTTTTATCATTGTCCATTTTCAAAATCTAAGCGATGATCTTGTAACAAAAAATAAATGGCAAAGTGGTTGTTGCTGATGAATGTAAGTGATGCAATTTACAGGAGTTGATAGAGCTTCATAATGGTATAGAGCAGGCAAGTGTATTAACTGTACCTTCCATAATTCAAAATCAGTTCATGAACAAATGCATCAAAAATACCAAATGCTAATTCACATTTTTTTTCTTTGAATGATCTGCAGCTAGCAGGGATGGCCAAGTCAGGAGATGTCGTCGGCGAGATCGGGGTCCTGTGCTACAGGCCTCAGCTCTTCACAGCAAGAACAAGATCACTGTGCCAGCTTCTTCGCTTGGACCGGGCCGCATTCCTCAGGATCATCCAGTCCAACATTGCAGATGGGACAATTGTCATGAACAATCTTATTCAGGTAAGCAAAATTTTCCGACAACGAAAACCGCTCCCGGCATCGAGAAAGGGGAAAATTCTGATCTATTCAGATGCTTCTTCTTCTTCTTCTTCCTTGTGATGTTTAGTATCTGAGAGAGAAGAAAGAAATTGCCTCCATTGTTGCTGTCGCAAAGGAGATCGATGACATGTTGGCCAGGGGCCAAATGGATTTCCCAATCACACTCTGCTTTGCAGCTTCCAAAGGGGATAGCTTCTTGTTGCATCAGCTTCTGAAGCGTGGATTAGACCCTAATGAATCTGATCATTATGGCCGCACAGCTCTGGTACACTAATGATTTCTTGTTAATTCAAACTTTAGATGCAACATTTGTTTTAAGCTTGTATGTTTTGTGTGTGAAATTAATCTGAAATTGACAGAGTGTATTGTTACTGAATTTGACAGCATATAGCAGCTTCTAATGGGAATGAGCAGTGTGTCAGGCTTCTGTTGGAGAATGGAGCTGATTCAAATTCGAGAGGTATATGCTTTTCAAATTCAAATCAAGAATGCATACTCCAATTGTTTATACTATTTTCATGCTCAGTTCAAATTGTAATTTGAAAAAGAAAATTCTGATGAAAATTTGATCAAGTGATGTGCAGATCCAGAAGGGAGAGTGCCACTGTGGGAGGCGCTGTGCAGGAGGCACCAGACCGTGGTGCAGCTGCTGGTGGACGCCGGCGCCGACCTGTCCGGCGGCGACGCGGCGCCGTACGCGCGCGTCGCCGTCGAGCAGAACGACGCCGCGCTGCTCGGGGAGATCGTCCGGCACGGCGGGGACGTGTCCGGCGCGTGCTCCGGCGACGGCACCACCGCGCTGCACCGCGCCGTCCTCGACGGCAACGTGCAGATGGCGAGGCTCCTGCTCGAGCACGGCGCCGACGCCGACGCCGAGGACGTCAACGGCCTCACCCCTCGCGCCGTCGCCGAGCAGGGCGGCCACGCCGACATGCAGCTCGCGTTCGCGTCGGCGACGCGCCACGAGCCGCGCAAGGCTCGGCCGCCACCGCCGGCGTCGGCGATCGTGCCGGTGCCGCTCCGCGACGGCGTGGACTCCTCGCCGTCGTCGTCGTCTCGGCGAGGGCGCACGTCCTCCACCTCCGCCGCCTCCGCGCGCAGCACGCCGCAGCGGATGGCCAACTTCCGCAACTCCCTCTTCGGCGTCATCTCCTCGTCACACGCGTTCCATCACGAAGGCGGATACAGGGGCGGCGGCGGAGGCGGCGGCGCCGCCGCCGAGAGGGAGAGGTCGTCGAGCTCGCCGCCGCTGGTGAGGGTGGCCATCTCCTGCCCGGAGTCGCGAGGCGGGAAGGATCACAGCAGCAAGCTGGTGTTCATGCCGGAGACGCTGCGTGGTCTCCTCGAGCTCGGCGCGGCGAGGTTCGGGGTGTCGCCGACGAGGGTGGTGACGAGCGGCGGCGCCGACGTCGACGACGCGCGGCTCGTCAGGGACGGCGACCACCTCCTCCTCGTCACTGACAAGTGGGTCCCACCCGAAAATCGTAGTAGGAATCAATAGCCGCCGTCCGATCCAACACTCGCGGCCCAGATGGAGGCCCGAGAAGATGTATCGATGTAACAATAGGGAAATTAGCAGAAAGGACCCAGAGAAAGTTGTATATTAATAGTGGGTTAAAATGGGATCGGAGAAGAAATCTCCGAATCCCCTTGTGAGCATTTTCTGACTGTTAGATCAACATCCGACGGTGCATACCACGAGAGCTGGTTCAGTTGTACAAGAAATACTACAAATTCTCCATTAGCATTCCAAACAAATTCTTAATTAATTTTATATATAAATGAGTCGTTTGGGAAAGAATTTTTGAAGGAATAGAAATGTGAGTACGGAAATTCCTCAATTTAGCATTGTCATATGGATTATGGCCGGTCAAATTAGGTTGTTACAACAATAATGTCACTATTCGATCAGATTAAGATTACGGAAGCTAAATTAGTTACAAGGTGAAAATGACACATCAGCATATTTTCCGGCTAGAGCAAAGGCATTTGGTGACGAACCCTTCCTAACCAAGGTGACCTCAAACACTCTTAACACTTTGACACAAACATCTTAAAAAGGATTAATTGGTTACGGTGGTTACGCTGCCATGACCAACTTCTGATCTACCAATTCAATTCGACACGTCAACCATTCTCCCATCCCCCCTATATAAACGAATTCATAGCGCATTACAATCTTCATCATCAAACAGTAACAATTTCGAGTTAGAGTGAGACGTGACTGTTGACGTTTTTTTTTTATCAACGCAAGATCACCGGACGATTTACGGTGCAATCAATTACACCGCAAAACAGTGACATGGAGCTCAACAAGGCGGTGGCCGTGGCGGCGGCGGCGATGGTCGCCGTGGTGGCAATGGTGGCGGCGCCGGCGTCGGGGCAGGCGGTGGCGGCGTCGTGCACGGCGTCGCTGATCACCAGCTTCACGCCGTGCTTCAACTTCATCACCAGCAGCAGCGGCGGCGGCGGCGGCAACGGCACGGCCGCCGGCGGCGGCGCGCCGACGGCGGAGTGCTGCCAGTCGGTGGCGGCGATGATCAACACGAGCGCCAGCTGCGCCTGCCTCGTCCTCACCGGCAACGTGCCCCTCGGCATCCCCATCAACCGGACGCTAGCCGTTACATTGCCTAAAGCCTGCAACTCCATGTCTGTTCCCCTCCAATGCAAAGGTAATAAACTTCATCTCCGGTTTTTCATATTTGTTGTTAGAACAAAAAAATTTAGGCAAAAGATTAATGACAAAGATAGTATATAAGTAATAATATATGCGCGAGAAAGGTTAAATTTAAAATGTGGCATTTAAAAGAAAACAAATTGTTGTTTTGCGCGAGAAAGGTTATCTTATAGAACCCTATGTTCCAAACGAGCCAGATGTGTATTTTAAAAGTTTATAGGATAGAGAAACGCTCAGGAGTCTTCCAGCTAGCTCCACAAGGTGATCGGCTAGATGACCTGGGTTTGAAGCCTCACCCCTTCTAATTATTTGATATTAGGTCATTCTCTAATATTTGTGTCTTTTAAATGGTTTATAAGATACGGTTAATTTATCAATATTGTTTTTATTTTCAGATACATCAGCTCAGATTCCAGCTGCAGGAGTACCCGTTGCAGTTTCTCCGGCCATGCCACCACTGCGTAAGAAATATTTAGCCTGAATCCGCTCTAACTTCATCTGCAACACATGCCAAACAGCCCAAAATTTGTCAGAATTTTTACTGGTGATGGGAACTAAACTATCTATCATTTTCTTTATTTTGTCAAATTTACAGCGCCAAGTCCGCCGGAGTCGACGGCCGGTGCCGGATCGCCGACGGCGACGGCCACGCCGCCGGCGACGAGCCAGACGCAGACGAGGCCGCAGGTGGTGCCCAGCTCTGCACGGAGGGTCGCCACCAATGCCGGTTTTCCTGCGTTTCTGCTGCTGCTAGCTGCCATGCTGTTCTGAAAGCCTCAACTTCTCATCATCAGATTATTCATTTGGCTGTTGGTTGATTGACCAATCGATTAAATTAGTTTGTGTTATTTTGCTATAATTTTTGTGGCGTGTTTGAGTGTATCTGTGTATGTGCTGTTGTTTTGATTTGTATAGGAGAATTTGTGTACGGATTGGTGCCATTGTGTACCAGTGGCTTGGATTATTGGTTGTACTGAAATTCCATTCTTTTGTGGGAAGTCATGAGCTGAGTAATATTATAGTAGACATTATTTGGTGTCTTCAGTGGTGTTTGTTTAGTTTTCTTGAACTTCTATGGTAGATTTTTTTTTTATAGAGAAGATAACTTCTACTGTAAAGATAAAGAAATATGTATGTTAGAGACATTTAATCTATGCCTAACTTATCTTTAAAAAAAACATAGGCTAACATCTTTGATAAATGAATAGCATTCTATCAATCTCTAAGGTCTTGTTTTGAACATAGAGATTTTACAGGATTTTCATAGAACCTAACTCAATTATTTATTTTTTTTAAAAAAAATATCTTTAAAATATGTTCCTCGGTTCTAAGTAAATTTGGGGATGTTCGGTTACCAGAGACTGTAGCAGCCGCAGCCACAACCTCACCTACCGAACAACACCAAAGCCTAAGCCTACATGGTAGACGGTAAACGGAAATTAAGAAGTGAATAACATGAAAAAAAAAGCAAGTATGTCCCCCATGAAAAATGTAGTGGCTGTGTAAACTGTAAAGTGGATCATGATACAAGTCAGGTCAAACGATAGCTTCAATATTTAAAAAAATGTAATACTATCTCTATATTTTAATGTATGACGCCGTTGATTTTTAATCAAACGTTTAACCATTTATTTTATTCAAAAAAATTTATGTAATTATCATTTTATTTTATTGTGACTTGATTCGTTATCAAATGTCCTTTAAGCATGACACAAATATTTTCATATTTACACAAAAATTTTGAATAAAACGAATAGTCAAACGTTGATAAAAAAAGTCAACGGCGTTATATATTAAAATACGGAGTGAGTACTTGCTTAAGAAAATGGGATGCTGCCTAAAGCTTTGAGTTGTAAGATTAGATTTGGAACCAAACAAACAACCCCCAACATCCATCCGGTCGAGTCAAATTAGTGGTTGCAACAAACATAACAGCAAAAGAACAGTGAGATTCCCATGCTGCTTTTCAGCATAGCAAGAACAATCCACTGGAGTGACTGCACACGGCTCATCTGCTACCCTGAAATTTACACGCAGAAGAATGAATACCCAGTAGAAACCTGAACATTTTCTAATAAATATAAACTGCATTTTTATGTACAGAAAAAAAGATGATGTCAACATGGTTCATACTCCTATTTCACACCAAGAATTATCAGAGATCATCCGATGCGTCCGTTGTGAATGGTAACCTTATGAACAAATTACAGAAAGAACAAGAATATGAGAATGCTACTGCTCTAAAAGCAAACCACGTTGCAACTACTGCTACTGCTTATGGATGTAGTATCATGAAGAAGAAGAAGAAAAAAGGGAACACACATGAATGATTTATCCGACCAACTGAAAACATGGGAGATGTGATGCCACTGCAACAAAAGAATGAATTATATAGTGACTTTGCACATTTCATATGTTTTTGTGTGCAACTTCCAGAATGGCCGGTGCTTTATGACTAAACCAAGACAAATTACACTAGCCATAAGTTGATAAGCCTGCTTTCTGTAAAGATGATTGGCTTCTAGTTTGTGTAAAAATTATTGTCTGCTTTACGACCAGCCTCCCTAACTAAAAGTACTACTAGCAAATTTGGGAGCTTTATTTTGTATGCTAGCTGTTGTTTCTTTTTAGAAAAGGAAATTAATGAAGGGTTTCAGTTTTCCTGAATGCCTGAAAAATCCTGTATATTAATAATATTCAAATCACTTGCTCTTGTTTCTTCACGGAAGTGCGTCTAGAAGAAACAGTAATTCCAAACTTTGACCTTGTGGTTTCAGGCAGAAAAGTATACGATTTTTCCAGGCCAGTAATTACTGCTACTGATCCGTAAAAACCATCCAAATTAAAAGGACAAGAAATCATGTTATGACACGCATACCGTTGCTAATCTCTTCCAACACGGCACAGACCAGAAATCCAGAATTGGCTACCTTTGCGTCAAAAAAAAGAACTGGCTACCTAATCTGAATACTCCAAACTTCAAAGATGTACTCCCTCCGATTCTATATTAATTGACGTTTTAGACAAGATTAAGGTCAAACTTTTATAACTTTGACCATCAATAACTTTAAAAATATTTAGTTTAAAAGAAATAGAACATTATATATATATATATATATATATATATATATATATATATATATATATATATATATATATATATATATATATATATATATATATATATATATGTCTTTTAAAGTACTATAATAAAAGTAAACATGCATTTATTTATTATATATATTATAATAGAAAAGTAAGATCAAAGATATATCTCGTAGACCGTGTCATTGTCCAAAACGTTAATTAAAATGGAACCGGAGGGAGTACTGCATTTGCTGATTTTTGCTTGTCTGAATTCTGAACAGCTGTCTGGCCTCTGAACAAATAACAACTCCTTCAAGAGAAGAATTTTCTTTTAAATGGCATTTTGATTGGCGAGATTAGGAAGATTCAGCTCACCAACCTGACCCAACCCTGCATTGCTGTCTCGCAACTTTCCTTGGTTTCCTCCCCTATAAAAACGACACAGATCGAGCACAAAAAGGCACAGACTTATATTCAGAGTTTCAGACACCAAGAGCATCTTGTACCACCTACGCAGAGTTTTGTTTGCTTGCTTGTTTGCTTGTCAGTGTCCAGAATGGCAGCGAGGGTGGCGTGGATCGGCGCGGCGGCGGCGGTGGTGGTGGTGGCGCTGATGGCCGGTGGCGCGGCGGCGCAGCCGCCGTCGTCGACAAGCGGGTGCACGCAGACGCTGCTGAGCATGTCGCCGTGCCTCAACTACCTGACCGGGAACGAGACGGCGCCGTCGGCGTCGTGCTGCGGCAAGCTGGGCGAGGTGGTGAAGTCGCAGCCGGAGTGCCTGTGCGTCGCGCTCAACGCCGACACGGCGGCGCTCGGCCTCAGCATCAACCGCACCCGCGCGCTCGGCCTCCCCGACGCCTGCAAGGTCCAGACGCCGCCGGTCAGCAACTGCAAGAGTAAGTAGCTCGCGTTCTCTCCTCTCGGCGTCTCGCCGCCATTTCTTGGTCTCCGACGAGCACGAGATAGCTGACGAACACCTTCGCCGCGTGCGTGCAGGTGGCGCTGCTGCTCCTCCTGCGGGACAGACGCCGACGACTCCGGCGGGGACAGGGTCGAAGGCGACGCCGGCGACGCCCGTGGGCTCCGGCGTCGCGCCGCTCCGTGTCTCGCCGGTGGGGATCCTCGCCGGCATCGTCGTCGCCGCCGTCTACGCCGTCTCCGCCGTGTGAGCTCGACGTCGACGACGAACCCGGCAAGCCTATCACCGTCTGTATCAATCTTGATCGGTGCACGCATTTGAGGATTTCGATGTGATGTGAGCATGGCACGCGTGCGTGTAGGAATTCGTTACGGATTTGAGCTGTTCTTCCTCCATTGGTTTATGCTACTGCTGCTCCCATTTGTGCCACGATCAGAGGAGCTTGTTTGATTATCTTTTTATTATTATTATTATCTAGGATTGATTCATCACTTCCATTAATTCTGAATAAAAACTTGTATTTCTCCCTAATTTGATTCTTGTGGCTGCTCCTCTTCCAATCCGACAAGTTTGCATGCACCGGCTTTTTCCTGAAGATAATCTTGCATTAATCTAGTAACTGAAGCTCCATGGATTGCCATATCTTGTTCTTGCCAGAGACCCAGACAAGCTTTACCAGTTCTTCTACCAACCACATGATGGAAAAGGGAAAGCAGAAACTAATCCAGAATTAATCAATCAATTAATTAATTGGGTTTGGTAATTGGTAAACTGAAGAAACTTTTGACCTAGTACGGCGTGAGCAGAGTCGTTAACAACGACCACAAAAAAAGAAGAAGAAAAAATAAAAGTACATCAGAAATTAATTCAGGATGCTTGCGGCGGCAGCCGGCAGGTGGTAACTGAACCAACTCCTTGTCTCCCGTCGTCGTCGTCTTCTCCGGGAAGATCGAGCTGACGAAGACAACGCCATGGCCGGGGTTCTCGCGTGGCCTCCTCGTCGGCGGCGGCGGCGGCGGCGGCGGCAGGAGGTGAGGGAAGAGGGAGACGTGGAGGAGACGAACGGAGTTGTGGGGGGTCAACTCCTCTTCCTCTCCACGACTCTCTCACACAAGAACTCAGGTAGTTTCATCGACTCGATCCAACCGGATCAAGCGCCGCCACCGCCAAGCCGCCACCAATTTCTTCGATAAGTAAAACCGAGTCAGGAATACAGTTTAGTATTTATCTCTCTCTCTTACAGTCAGCTCATACAGTTCTTTCCCCTATTACAAGAAAGAACCTATTCTACCCACATGGGCCCCTTATAGCGAGGATTGGTCTTCTTGGGCCGTCTGGACTTCTTCAGTGCATCAGCTTCTTGGTTTGAATTACCTCCTCTCGCCAGCTCCGTCTCCTTACGAACAGGTTCACCCTTGTCTTGTTTTCCAACAGACGAGGCCTTGACAAGGGGGCCCACGTGTCAGCAAGAGCACGGCCTCGTAATGGCCCCATATAACTCCACCTAACCTGCCGGTACGATGGCCCATCTAATCGCTGGATGAATCGACGAAATTTTGTACTCCATTAGACTGGATACGGCGATTCCAATTTGAACAAAAAATCAGAAAGAATTCCAGTCAGGCTATGACTCGGATCATGTTTCAATTAATTTGGCTTTACTGAATGGCGACTAAAAGAAGATTAAAAAAATTACTGGTCGATGAGCTTCGATGTATAGCAGTAATGGTTGGATAGCTAGCTAGCTCGATCGATCGTCGATGGCTTTGCTGCCGTGTTAATATAACCGCGAGGTAAAAATTGGTTTCCGTGTTCGGAGTCCGAACAGTAGTATGTGCCGTTCGGGCCGCCCAACGATAGATGGGCCCTCGGTTACTTATGCCACTGGGAATAAGGTCACCGAAGGTCCCTCAATTTAACACCGAGATTTTCTGAGATCTCTCAACAATAAAACCAGAAATGTGCACCCCTAAACTCCATCAAACCGTTCAACGGAGGTCCCTCAGCAGTATTTTTGTCCGGTTTTACTGACGTGGTATCCTAGTCAGCAAAAAAAATTAAAAAATTACGTGGTGCCCACATGTCAGCTGCATGCTAGTCTCTTTTCCTTTTTCTCTTCTCTTTCGGCGTGTGCGCACCGCGGCGACCTCTTCGCCTCAGGCCGGGCGGCAGCGTGCGCCTCGACCCAGGCAACTGGCAAGAGCGTCGGCGGTGGTAGGCGGCGGAAAAGGACGGCGGCGGCTGGAGCAGGCGGAGGGGCAGCGTCAGGGGGAGAGCACGCGGCTGCGGCGGCGGCAAACGGCAGGTGAGCGCGGCCGCAGAGGGCGGGCGGCGGCGCGCGGCCGGAGCAGGCGGAGGGGCGGCGTCAGCGGCTGCAGGCGGCGGTCTGGGCCCGGGGACACGAGGAAGAAGGCGCCGTCGAGGGTGCGCGCGCTGGCGTAGAGCGTAGCGAGGGAGCCTGGCGAGGACGCGTGCAGCGAGCCCTGCGGGCACGCGGAGGAGGCCAAACTAAACTAAGTTTGTAAAAAAAAGCACATTAAATATATTTTAATAATATATTTATTTTGTGTTGGAAATGCTATTATAATTTTTCATAAAATTAGTCAAACTTAAAATTGTTCGAGTAAGATAAGCTAAAACAACTTATAATATGAAATAAATAGACGGAGTTTTCTGGATAAGAGGTTAAGGGGAAAAATAATGAATTTGCATGCGATAGAACTCCATATTGCTTTCAATATATATACCTAACAATTAGAACTAATATATACACCCTCTCCCGTTAAAAATATTAAATTATTTTTGCTTTCATAATTTGATTTTTTTTATGGAGTGTCTATGTAACGTACATGTCTACTGCGCCCTGACACAGGCACACGACACACATCCGTATATGCACGCTAGTTGCCGGTACATATGTACATATTTGTATTATATTTGTATTAGAATGTGTCACATCTCATATTAGATTTATTCTTTTGGGATGAATGGAAGCATATGGAGCACGTTAATATAATACATATGTGCAGCTTTCCAAAAATAGACACCATGCGTATGCCACACCTTACTTTATCACAAGTGTTTCATGCCACACAAAGTAATAGCAATTTATTAATCATAAGTGTGGTTAAGTTTGACAAGAAGTCAAGGTTGTGTTCGGGTGGTGAGGTTGGGAACTTACCTCCCGCGCACGCAAGACGGAGCGACATATTTTCTTATAATTAATTAAGTATTTACTTTTTTATAAAAAAAATTTAGATTAATATGATTTTTTAAAGCAACTTTTGTATAGAAACTTCTTTTTTTGAAAACATACACTATTTAGCAGTCTAAAAATGTGCACGTGGAACATAAAGAAGTTGGGAACACACCGGAAAGAACACAGCCTAGTCTATGGCGCATAGGCCCACCACAGACTAGCAAAATAAGGCATGGTACAACTTTGGTAACCAAACACTGTTCTAACAAATTGTGACATGTGTGATGTGTGAGAGGTTTGGCATGACAACCATCGATAGCCAAGCAATCAACCCCCATATGATCCCACATGCATCACGTACATACTACTCTGTCCTATAAAAAGGACTAATTTTAATTATGAATCTAGACAAATACGTATTTAGGTTATTTAGTTATAACTGGTTTTTATGAGACGGCCGAAGTATCTACAAGGTTGCAACTCCATCAATTTTCTAACTTTGTACTAGCTAGGAGCTTCCATGTATATATATATATATATATAGGACACTCATATGGGGCACCATGGTGCCCGGGCACCATGGTATCAAATACACAAAATCACTCAAATTTTTCAAAATTTTCAAATTGTGAGTATATACCTAGTTATAATAACTCGATTCATACCTATACCTATCAACAAAACAACTCAAATTTAACTTTATTTCACAATCCATGATTACATACCTAACTAATTATATGTATGGATGCTATATACCTAGAATCAAAATCTAACAAAAACAAGTTCAAATTCAGTTCAAACTTGCTTTGAACTAGTTAGTAAAGTAGCTAATGTTAATATCTAAGTAATTGAAAAAGTTTCATACTCATTTGAATTAGGTATATACTCAATTTCAACAATGGTGCCCGGGCACCATGGAGCACCAAACAAATTTACTATATATATATATATATATATATATATATATATATATATATATATATATATGTGTGTGTGTGTGTGTGTGTGTGTGTGTTCATCAACCATATCTCGTACTTCCTCCGTCCCAAAATATAATAACTTTTGATTGGATGTGATATATTTTAGTATTATAAATCTGACCTGGTTGGATGGGACATATTCTAGGACTGTACAAGAATATGTTCCATCCAATTACTATATTTTGGGAGGGGAGTGGTATATTATACTCGTATAGGAGTACGTACGATCGATGTGATTGTTGTATCTGCATGCGTCTGTGCTGTCACGTCTGAATTAATTGATCGAAGCGCATGTCTATATATGTAGCTCATAGTACGTGTATGTCGTGTATATTAGTGCTCCCTCCATTTTTTAATAAATGACGCCGTTAACCTTTTTTATATGTTTGATCATTCGTCTTATTTAAAAATTGTATGTAAATGTATAAGATATAAATCACACTTAAAGTATTATGAGTGATAAAACAACTCATAACAAAATAAATTATAATTATGTAAATTTTTTAAATAAGACGAATGGTTAAACATGTGAGAAAAAGTTAATGGTGTCATCTATTAAAAAACGGAGGTAGTATTAACTTGTTGCACATGTCGATCTGTATAAATATATGCGTGTTCCACGGGTTGGTTCATCTTGTCGTCAACGGCTTCTCGTGTCTTCTTTGCAGAGAAAAGAGAGAGAGAGAGAGAGCCTTGAAAGGTCAATGCTCCCGTAAGTTCACCTGCCTCATCACGTACGGTCGTACGTACGAACAAATTAAGTTCCAGTACTACAGTATATACGAGTATATATACGAGTAGCAAAATGTCCATACGTTGCACTGGATAAAATTGATCGCGATAAATTATACTTCTTTCTTGGTTTTGAGCCCCATTACTTCGTTCCTTTTCAGCCCACCTAGTCCGTCACCTCTCTCGAGAATAAGTTCACCTTGTGACCCTCAAAAGTGATCGAAATCTAATTCGCAACCCTAAACCATAAAACCGGATATCTCGATCCCCAAACTCTTAAAACCGGTGCAATTTGACTCCCACGACGGTTTTGGAGGGCGGTTTCGCTGATGTGGCGCCTACGTGGTAGTATTGACTCGGTCTCCTTTCCACGTGGCGTTGACGTGGCGCTTAGGTGGCGTTAGAAATAAAAATTATGTGTGGGACCCATTTGTCATTCACCAAAAATATGTGTAGGACCCACTGACATGTGGGGCCCACATAAATCATCCTCTCCTCATCCTCCCCCTCTCTTTCTCTTCCGTTCGCTGTTCGTGCGCTAGCAGGCGGGCCCCGCTCGCCAGGAGCTTCTTCTACCTTTGTCCGTCGTCTGTTCATCTCTCCCATGAAACTCAAGCACTGCCGCCTCCGTTGATCTCCATGCCCTATCGT